GAGGACCTGGAGAGGAGGCTGACGCCAGCAAGAGGGATCTGCCCCAAACAGGAGAAAGGAGGTACAGAAAAACTTCTTAAACACACACTCACTCACTCACTCACTCACACACTCCAAAACTGACATCTCTGTGCTGTTTTGGCATCTTCAGCTGCAGATGAATGCATCCTGAGATGATTTTATTAAACAAAGAGCTGCACCATTTACTCCCCCCAAATCTAGAAAACACACCAGACACACTCAGCAAAACACACTTCATCTGAAACCAGCTGTTAGGAGGAATGTGACAGAGGAGCCACGCCCTAGATGTGTTCTTTTGTTTGTTTGTTTGTTGTTTTTGATGGAGGTGGGGGTCGGTGTGTGTGTGTGTGTGTGTGTGTGTGTGTGTGTGTGGGGGGGGGGGGGGTGAATGTGTCTGAGTGCTTTTTAAGAAATCCTGCAGCAAGAGGTTAAAGGAAGCTGATTAAAATTCATCTGCGCGTGTGGTGAGGAGAAGTGGATTAATAAAGGAGCAAGGCCGTTTATCTGGTTCGGGGGGGGGGGGGGGGGGTGAAAGACGGAAAGGAAAGGTGGGGGGGCGGAGAAGGGAGGAAGGGGCTGAATCAGAGTTATCGGAGGAGACAGGACATGGGAGTGCAAGCCTGGATTACACAGGCTCCAGGAGGTTAAAGAGGGCCTCGGTTACATGTAGGAACACAGAATCTGGTCACTGCTCACCTGGAACACGACAGCTAATCAGGTTTGTTTTTTAATTCCAGCTCTAAAACCATCAAAACACAACATCATTAATCTAAAGGGGACAGGAATTCACTGGCTTCTTAAAGACATTTCACCTCTCATCCGAGGAGCTTTGTCAGTAGAGACTATAGAGACTAACGACCCCGATGACTTACCAGGAGGCAGGGAGGAGGGGTATTCATAGGCAGTTTCTGCTCGTTAAGCAACAACAGATGACTACAGCTTATTAGCCTGATTCTTCTTAATTCCAGTCAGAATTGACAAAGCTCCTCGGACGAGAAGCAAAATGTCATCAAGAAACCATCAGACCTTCATCTGAATCCCTTTGGACTGTCGTGTATGACTGAGAACCTATTTGTGTTGGAGTAAGACCTAACCAATGGATGGCCATTAGGGTCAAAAAACCCCTGGAGACAACCTCCAGCAAAATGCCAAGCACATCAGACCATTTCATCACTGGAAATGCGTAAAAAGGTAAATGTGTAAAACAAAAACTTTTACGGGTGGTGAAAGTTTTGTAACCGTTTGTTACAAATCAGTAAATGCGTTTTGTCCTCACGGGCTCCCGTAGGAGGAAATATGGCGTCTAATATGGCGTAGCCCAGAAGCGAAGACCCATGTATTTTAGACCTGATTTTCTTGGTTATATGCTACAAAGCCACCAATATTTTTCAACAAATGGGCATCATTTCATTCATTTTCAATAACATTTTGATGGATGTTTCCAGAGATTAACAGTTAAAAGCTACACATTGTCACTTTAACGAAAATATCATACTACCAATCAGAATCATGCTCTTATTTTGAAATAAACTCAACCGAAGGCTAAACTCACACATCCCAAATAGTAAAGTGCAAGTATAGATTGCAGAAGGAGGGCAAAACACACTGGTGGCATCAGAGTTTTGATTATTTTCCCTTAAATACGCTGTGGTTTGAGTGTTCATCGAGATATTTTTGTGTGGAAATCTTTACATTTTTAAATCAGCACCCTTTTTTGACATTTGGACTTCTGTAGCAGCACTCCTCTGCTTCATTAGGTGCTTTGCAGCTCGATCTGCGTGTTTATATCAGGTAATCAGTTAAATTAGTTTGTTACTATTTGTGTTTTAGATTCATGTCTGACTCCCTGTCTAGATATCAAAATCACATTTAGTTCCTGTTTGCTCATCCTGTTCACACATAAATGTGGATTTTAGTGTCTAAGATGTGGGTAACAAACTATTTAAACACAAAGAAAACACATTTTAACTTTGAAAATTTGAAAAGTGCGCTGTAGGATCAAATGTCGAATTTACTTAACCAAGGTTCCACTAGCTGCTTAAATGTAAAGAGTTAAAATATGTTTACTTTGAACATAACAACCTGGAACCAGTTGACACAACTTTGTTAAGTAAATTCAACTTTCATATCTTACAGTGAAGAAACAGGGCCTACAGGTCACACTTGTAATTTTTTGTGTCGCATTAATCCTGAACAGGTAAACACGCTTAAGCGTTTTATCTGCGCTGATTCTAGCCTGATAGCTTTAATCACCACTAAACAGCTTGGATTTACCTCCTCCTAATGTAAATCAGAGCCTGCAGTCTTCTCAAACTTGAACTCTGGGTTTTCGTTTTTAACCGAACAACTCGTTTTTCCACAACCGAGCAGCAGCCGTAGTTGGAGGTCGCATCAGATTGTGTCACTTCAGACTTGACAGCATCGCATTTCTGATAACGCGATGACATCCGCTAGTGGCTCTAAGAATCGTGCGGTTTATTGATGATTAAAGTGATAAAAATTGGCTAAGTTTGCCCTTTCGGAGTGAGTGCACCATGACCATGCACCATCAGACTGCGATTTCGACACAAACATTAAGAGCAGATGAAGATCTCTGGTAGAAAAAAAATAGTTACAGAAATATTATTTAAATTAGACAGTTGTTTACACCAGAGCCCCAAACTGTCGTGGTCCTCTTCTTTTATTTATTTTTTGCATTTGTTTTGTTGTCGCAGCAGAAATCAGTGCATGTGCAGCATGTCTGTGTGTGGCCAGCAGCTGTGTCTGTAAACGGAGATCAGAGACGATATAAGTGACAGCAAAGGTTTGGACGCCGCTGTCGATCTGAGAAAATTAAAGCAACGCTCTAAAGTATTTCTTTCAAGATTTCTCACCGAAGGAAAAAAAAGTTATTGATAATAAAAATAACTGACCATCCATCTGCTGTAAATGTGGCGTTACGCTTTTAGTAGTTCAGCTCGGTGGCGATGTGAAAGGCTTATGTTGCGTTTTTCCCGCTAAAGCAGTTCTAGTTGTAGTGATTCAGCCTTTTACAGCAGCAGCCAGTCAGTGGTTCACACAGACGGTCTTATCACTAAGAGAACAGGACATGAAAGCACTCAGAGCCCCAAATGAAAGCAAGGAGGACAGCTTTGTTCAACACATTAGATTGCCACTCAAGTCAGTCTCAAGTTTCAAGTAAATGAGATCACGTTATTAGTACTAATTAAGTCCAAAGTCTTGGAGGCACTCACACAGACACACACACACACACACACACACACACACACACACACACACACACACACACACACACACACACACACACACACACACACACACACACACACACACACACACACTCATGCACACACGCAAATATTCCAGGGAGAATTTGTATTTTGACTGCGACTATGTGCAACGATGTAGAGAAGTCAGATTTACATGCATGTGATAACCCACCAAAGCTTCTGCTGCAACAAACGTCTCCCCCAATCCTGTTTTCTTTTTTTTCTCACCTGGTTGTGTTTTATAACATCCTGTCTGGCCTCTTTTGTCTGTCAGCCCGCTTGCTTAAACTGCAAACATGCTGCAAGGCCAGCAGATTCAACCCCAAAAGGTGCACACACACACGCACGCACACACAGACACACACACACGCATGCACGCACACACAAACTCACACACACACACACACGTGCACAGCAGCGTATACAGTAGATGAAAAATGGCCCCTCTCTCTTGCTCTCTCTCTCTCTGCCAGGTTTTATTTTATTTTTTCTTCCTCCTGAGATCCTGCTGCTGATGCTTGCACAACATGTGCGTGTGTGTGTGTGTGTGTGTGTGTGTGCGTATGTATATATTGTCAGAGTATGGTAATACACATGAGTGTGTCTTGTATGAATTTGTGCATGAGGTGTCTGTGAAGAATGATGCGTGTCATCGCACAGGCGAGGGAGAAAAAGAAAGAGAGTGAGAGAGAGACGTTGTAGTATACTCAGACGACCCTGGCCCTGCTTTGAACTCCTCCCAGGACGACACACACACACACACACACACACACACACACACACACACACACACACACACACACACACACACACACACACACACACACACACACACACACACACACACACACACACACACACACACATGTGCGCACACACTCTTTTGGAGCACTTTAAAGCCCAGTGTGAAAGAGTCACTCCTCGGGAACCCTTTACGGAGGAGAAATAGTGAATATTTCATGAGAACAACGTTGACATCTCTCTCCGTTTGGCTCTCCATCCACCTGTGATCCTGCCGTTGTCGTTTCACCTGTCCTGAAAAGCACAGTATATTTTTTTTAGGATGGGAGAGGTTGGAAGCCTCCTACAACCCCAACTTATACTGATGTTCATCTGAACGATCAAAGGTCTCGCATGAGATAAACACAGCTTAAGAACGATCACACTTGCATGAAGGACATTTCTGAGGGTGTGAAAGTGTGCAAAAGAGCGTTTTTAACCCGATAAGATCAGGTTTTTTTTTATTTCACTTACAATCAAGCTAATGGGCAGAGAGGAAGCCTTGTTTTCTAACATTAAATGAGTCACTGCGGTTTCTGGAGGACTATTTCGTGGTGTGACCTGCACAGATACATCAACCTTTGCACCCGAAGCGGTTGAAGCTGCAGCGTGTTTAACTTCTTCTGTCACCAAATGTCAGCAACCTTCCAGTTTCCACACGTCTTTGCTTGTGTGGACCTGAAGGTGTCCCTTTCCTTCTCCTTCTTCGTCTCCCCTGCTTTTTTCCTCTGTTTTTTTTTAACTTTTTGCCCCACCACCCAGTGCTCCTTTAATCACCTGGCTTGCTCTCATTTCCATATTAAATAGGCTTTAATCATGAAAAGCAATCAGGCTTTTGCATATTCATACCTTCCCCTGTTCGCCGGCTTCCCTGTCTCGCTCCACTGCCAAGCAGCCAGTAATCAGTAGGCAGGCGGCGTAATGCCATAGCCCCGGCCCCATCGCATGAAAACACACGCACACACACACACACACACACCGCATGAGTTCG